TATATATATATATATATTAAAGTAGTTTTTTATATTGCTCATGTGCAAAAGAAAAAAAGAAAATTAAAAAACAATTCATAGTTTTGTGCTGAATCGTATTTTGTAATTAATGAAAAAAAATCGATTTGATTATCTTGAAAATTTAAAGTTTCTAGTAATTTTCTAAGCACTTTTTCGCACTTTTTAAGGACAGCTTTAAGGTTTTTTCCACAAATGTCAGTTTGTACTAATAAGCAAGACTTATAAAAAATGACACCAACGTCAGAAGGGAACATCCTTCATAAAAGTAAGTTTTCTTTCCTTATGTCAATCACGTTTTGGTGTACGAACGATTATTGCAAGGTATCACTACTTGTTTGGTAGGGCACTAGGCCCATGTCCAAGAGGTCGTGGGCTCGATCCCTGGCAGCTGAAGACTCCCCGTGTAGTAAATGATGACTGGTGCAGGTTAAATCTGTCGAGTCGCAAAAGTTCTCCATGTTCCCATAACAAATCAATACCTCTGAGGGTACTGAATTGGAGATGGATCGTTCTCTGATTCATGTCAAAATTATGATCTGTGGATTTATGAATGGGTCTGTTCTATAAACGGGTGTGACGTATGGGTGTGTCAGAAGTCGAATTCCTGGTCATATAGGGCGCCGTTGGAAAAAAGAACAGTTATACCCCCTTTAATTTTTTATTAATTGAAAATTGAATCAATTCTTTTTTCAATTTATTGAATATTTTTAAAGTTATAGCAAAAAGAAGGGGGAAAAAGGAAGACACATTTTTCTTTGTTTTTAAATGTCCATATTTTCAAAAATAATTAATCTATGCTTGCGAAACTTTATTTAATTATTACAACTAACATCCTAAGAGCCGCGATGGCGACTGAAACCGGTTTGTACTTGTTTACGTAAGTGAATCAATAGGTTAACATTGTAATGCAATGCGTTAAAGATAAATACAAATAGCAAGTATATAGAAAATCTCCTGAATAAAAACCTATTACATGTATGTTTAAATAGAAAAGTATTCCCTATAAGCTCGCGCAAAACGTGTCATTTTTAAAGCACTACAGTGTGTCTCATAATTTGATATAACTATTATAATATACTAATATAATTCCTGATGTAATAAATATTCTATATTTATATAATATATCGTCTAATTTATCCAATCGTCTAATTTATATAATATATCGTCTCATTTAACCCATTGATACACGAACGTAAACAAGTGCAAACTGGTTTCAGTCTAGTATAAAAAACAAATCTCTATAGTATCACTTGATAATTAAGATTTTACTTAGATATTACTTAGATTTACTAAGATTTTACTGTATATATATTTATATATCCCAATGTCACTAGAAGCTAAAAAATAATTATGTTCTCTTTGATATATTATCGTATTAAAAAATTACATTAACTTTGGAAAGTAGTAGCCCTTAATTTGAAACGATCTAGAACTTTACTATTGGCTATTGTCTAGAAAGCATTCTTGTGAATGGTCCGAAGCCTTTTTGTTCCTCTGCTGTAATGTTGACTCTCCCGAATAAGTAGCCCGATGACCTGCACCCGAAATCGAGCACCTTACGGTGGAGCAGTTTAACGATGACCGTTATCGTGCACCCTCTGGCTTTCGCAGCCTGATCGAAATGGTCATCACCCGTCCACTGACTGACATTAAGATGGAAATGTACTGTCATTTAAACAAAATTTAAAAAAAAAACATGAATTATCCTTACACTTGACCTTCTTATGAAACCAACATCAATACAGTTAATTTAAATATTACATACTTAAAATTGGATCAAAAAAGGAATAATCCTATTTCTAGAAAGCATTCTGCTTCTTTTATGATTTTAAAAGCATGTCCTTAAGATCGAACAAAGTTAAAACTCTTTGAATTACAAAACTAAACTGAGATTTGAAACCCGTTTCTAGAAAGCTTTCTGTGATGTTTTAATGATCATAAAAACATATCCTTTAAAACAAAGAAAGTTAAACTCTTTGAAAATCTAAACTAAACTGAAATTTTCCAGGAAATTTATGTATTTAAGTATGAACCTTAACTAGCATTAATGACTTTAGATGACTCCTCTCTGTGGATATAACTGGCAATTAATAATGGATCGGAGAGACGAGATTTACGTCGAAGCAATTAATTTTACTTTCAAAATTACAAAATGTTAAGCATTTTTTTTTCTATCTTTGCTAGATATTCCCTCAAGTATTTAAAGTGCAACTACTGGAGGGAATAAAAAGTATTTAACGATTACCAATTTTTGAAATTAGTTTAGATCCAATTGTAAAATGACGAGATAATTAATCTATTTAACGAATATGAAATTTTACAAATTATGCACAATTTCTACATTCTGTGGAAAGTGAGGGTGTTTAAAATATGTTTATTCATACAATTAGTATTTATTTAACTTGTTTATTAGTTTTTATTTAAAAAAATGATGGTATTAAAAAAAACACGATTTTTTACAATTAGTTTATACTTAACTTGCAATTACTGAATATAATGAAAGTATTTAAGGAGTATGAAAATATATAATTAATTTAAATCTACTTTGCAACTACTGAAGAAAATAAAGTATTTAACGATTGTAAAATTTGACAATAATATTATACATATATACATATATATA